GAGGTTCAACATGACCAAGTGCCAGGTTGTGCACTTGGGCACAACCCCATGTTGGAAAGCTGCCTGGCAGAAAGGGACCTGGGGGTGTTGATCCACAGCCACCCTAACAAGAGCCAGCAGTGTGCCCAGGTGGCCAAGAAGGCCACCAGCATCCTGGCTTGTGTCAGAAATAGTGTGGCCAGCAGGACTAGGGAAGTGATTGTGCCCCTGGACTCAGCACTGGTGAGGCTGTACCTTGAATACTGGGTTCAGTTTTGGACCACTCACTACAAGAAAACCACTGAGATTCTGGAGTGTGTCCAAAGAAGGGCAACAAAGCTGGCGAAGGGTCTAGAGAACAAGTCTTGTGAGGGGAAGCTGAGAGACCTGGGGTTGTTTAGCCTGAAGAAAAGAAGACTGAGGGGAGAACTTCTCACTCTCTTCACCTATCTGAAAGGAGGTTGGAGTGAGGTGGGGGGGTCAGTCTCTTCTCCCAGGTAACAAGTTATAGGACAAGAGAAAATGGCCTCAAGTTGACCAGGGAGTTTTAGGTCAAACATTAGGGAAGATTTCTTCATAGAAAGGGTTGTCAAGCCCTGGAAGAGGCTGCCCAGGAAGTGATTGAATCACCATCCCTGGAGGCATTTAAAAGACATGTAGAGCAGGTGCTCAGGGACATGGGTTAGTATTGGGGTTGGCAGTATTAAGTTAGTATTTGGACTCAAAGATCTTAAAGGTCTTTTCCAACCAAAATTATTCTATGATTATTGTATTATCATTGTATATATAACTCCACTGCTATAATACTGAATTTGTTATCTGAATAGGATCATATTGCCTTTCCTGCTTTCAACTTACTACATTTTCATTCTTTATCTAATAGTCAAAATGGACATTCATACACAGTAAGAGACCATGTTTGGTGTGAAAAGAAATTTAAACAGAGATAGGGTTACTGCTACAGAGCTGAAGAACACAAACAAATAATTTAAATTTGCAGGAGAGAGAAGGTAAAATGCTTGGAGAGTAACAGAAGCTTCATTCCAAATCTCACTTTTATTTCAATCTGTGCATCATTGCAAACTAAGCAGCCATTAGCTGTGAGCCTTAAATGTAAAAAGAAACCCACCTAAGGGTCATTTTCTGCAGCAGAGTTTACACAGTAAGACTTGTGGTAATCCTTCTTGAAAGTAATAACAGAGAAGAAATCCAGTGAGAAGCTTTCTGTTACCGATGTGCCAGGCACAAGAATTGATTAGATGTCTTCTCTACTCTCCCTACAAGACTGGATAGCCAGAGGTCTCAGCTATAAGCAGAGCAGATCTATAGTCTGGCTTTTTTAGCTATCACCACTGCAGAATTGCTCCGTGCTGGAGGGTCAAGCAACGGTGCAACTACAATAAAACAGATCTCACTGGCACTTACCAAACAACTCAGAACTATAACAGACCCTCTCTTTCAGATCACTGCACTACTGTAAATTTTTATCCTCGTATGACAGAAGTGCTTTATGAATGTATGGCCTTTCAGCTGTGACATTTGCACACCAAGCAGCATTTTTGTCAGCCTCTGGAACAAAGTCTTTTGCAAAGCAGATTGTTGCATTTGTGTCACAGAGAATGAGGTGTCTTCCCTTCTGAAGTTAAAAGCTCATCTCAGAAGAACAAGAAAAGTGAGAGTGGAATGATAAATAGGCTCAGATGGAATAAACAGAGATATTGGAAAAATCATAGAAAACTTACATCTTTTCCTAGCCAAATATTTTCTGAAATTTGAGTCTTTGGGTATAAAAAAAATGTAGGTAGCATGTATGCAATAACAACTAAGAAAATTATTACAAATGTTGGGAACTGAAGGTACTGGCTGCAGTGGTCATATACAGGGATCAAAACAAAAGCCTACAGAACACAAAGCTTTCTGATTTTAAAAGGGATAGTAAATTTACCTGATACCTTCAGTGGATACTGTTACGAGTACATGGCATATATCATACAAATGTCCTTTAAGGACAGGATTAGGCAAGTAATTGGCCAGGTGAAGAACATTGTGTATTAAAAATATTATTGCCAGGAAAAATATAAAGCAGTTCATCAAAAACCTCCTTATTAAGCTAGCTCTTCTATGATTGAGGAATTATCTTTATCAAATTTCAAACATTTCAGAAAACCTTTGGGGCAAAGTAATCATCTGAAAAAAAGACAGTGGAACGAGATTAATGGTAGATATACCTGTTCTTTTGGGATTAATGGTATCAACACCCTGTCATAGCACAGATATATCAACAGGTTTGCTTCTAGCCCTTAAAATGTAATATATGTAACTGAAAACCCACTGGAACTGTAGCCTTTATAACAATGCAATCTGTGATCTTGCTGAGATACTGAGATATCTTAAGTGACCTGAAAGCCAGTCCTCATATGGCTCAGGCAACAGAAACAGCTTGAAACTAGATGCTAAGTCTTTATGACTGTATTACAGGTTTTACAAACTGAATCTTCGTTTCAAGTAAACATTAATCCTCAACTAACTCAAGAGGTATTCTATGAAGTTGACATACTTGCAATATGTTCTGAAATGATGACATTCAAAGGTACCACACCAGTGTATGATTGTTACTTAACATAGAAGATAAAATGACCCTGAGAGTGACACACCTGCCATTTCCATAACGAGTAAGATTTTAGACATTTCATGCTTATAGTCACTTTCATGACTTTCAAATCAGAAAATTAACTTTGACCTTTTTAATTTCAGGTCAATAAAACTCAGCAGATTTTTGAAAAAATTTTAACTATATTTTAAATTACAGTTTTTGATCGTATGCCTTTAAATTCTACACTATGGGGAAAATGTGCAAGAAAATAAATTTTTAATTTGAATTTTTTATCAGAGCTCACCAAATGATTCTACCCTCCAACTAGTTATCTTTCCCATAAAACTGTGGTGTTGATAATGACACTGACAAGTTTGCAGAATACGATAACTGTTAAAAACTGAAGTCATGGTTACACTCAACTGATTTTATTGAAGGAATCTACTAAAGAAATTCAAGTGCAACTGCAGGTTGTTATAGCACAGCTAAATGAACAAAATGCTAGATTTCATACTTATATTAAGAATCTCTGTACTCTCTCCTCTTTCCAAGTTGGTTAAAAGACCCCCAAAATGGAATTTGCTTTGCTTCTGAACAAGACAACTTTGAATTTCAAACATGCTTATTAAAATGCAGAGTTGTGCATCAAGGGGACGAGGGAAGGAAGTGGATAGGTGTTAGAATTACTTGTCTGAGATACTGTAACTAATGATATAGCAGAGCATGCTATCTAATATTGGAGTACACATTCGGCCACTTGCTTTAAAAGATATAGCTAATGAGACCCTCCATGCATCCTTATTCATGTAATTTGTACAACAACTCCATGGTTTACCTCTTTGTTTCCTTTCATTTATTTACTTAAACCAATAAAGATGCTAATTCTGTTCAGATATGCTGTTTGGTAGCACTGCAGCTAAATTCTGGAGTAAAGCAATTGAATCAAGACTAGTTCATTCAACAGAACTAATCTACAACTTCTGGAGATCACGTGTGTGTGACTGCATCTCTTGAAGGAACAAGATGAAAGGTAACATTCATCATCTGTGTCCAAAAGCTGCTGGACAGTACATGAATTCACTGCAGAAAGAGTGAGCAGAGAGCAGATAGGGTGCTCTGAGTAGTGTCTGGCCATTATCACTTCCCTACAACATTAGTAGCTCTCCTTTTAAGTAGTTTGAGATCACAAATTAAATCCTGTGTCTTGTAGCAGGCAAACAACTTCACAAACATGAGCTTTTAAATTGCACTTGAACATGCCTGATTTTTGAGCAAAATTCCCTAAAGTTTTCTGTATATTTTATGTTACTAGATGCAATTAATACAATATAATCAATATTGTGCTACTCATTCTATAATTTAATTACATAATTTTATTTGTAATGATAGTTGGCTTGGTATTTTGTGACCATTGAGGCAGTTTGATTACTTTGTTAACAGCTACTGGATCTTGTAAAAGCATCAAGACAGTAATAATCATTGAGAGTTGTAATTTAGGGAGGAATAAATGAGCACAGTTTGTGTTGCCCTCATGTTTATTAATAGGAATTAAATGACAGGATAATCACAGATTTGCTTCTGTTATTGTATATTCCACCCACTAGCATCCTTCCTGGGCACATCTAATCTAAAGTTCTGTTCCAAACAGCCTCCAGATGAAGACTTACAAGCTCAGGCTTAGTGCTGACCAGCATCTGTCATTGCCCTTCTCACCTGTATTTGACAACACTTAGATGACCTTGATTGATTTCATTATTCAAACCAGGTATGAGTTTAAAGCAAATATGTGTTTTTCAGTCCAAAATGGTGTTGTCCAAAATGGTGTTGGTATGTTCATCATTGTCTTTTAGAGTCAGTGTAGTAACAGCTGTTGTTTTATTCCTCTGCACAGAGGCCATGGTTTCCAGAACCAGAAGGGTCATAGTCATCATTTCCCATGACAGGAAAATGTGAATGCAATGAAGACATTAAGTCACTCCTACATGTGCTATTTGGCATGGAATTTAATCACATTTATTTGTAGGAAGAGATAGGATTAAGCCTTGAAAACACATCCAAATGTTTAGTTATTAATGACACACTTCTAGCTAATAGTAAAAATCATCACACAACAAACATGAGCAAAGATAACATAGGACATCACCTAAGAACCGATCTAGGAGACATTAAAAAGTCACTTACCATTCTGTTCCCTCTGGACTCCAGCAGCAAGCAAATCTGGCTCCCCAAGACTTATATCATTAAGCCTGGTTCCTAGACACTCCATACAAAGGTGTTTGCACCATTCCTCTGCCTCCAGTTCTGAAAAAAAAAAAAAAAAAGAAAAAAGAATTGTTCATCTTAACATTTTACTCAGAAAAGCATGAAGTTAACTCAATACCTTCTTCCTAACCAGCTTTATGACAACATGACTATAACAAAATATGTTTCTAGCATGAAGTTCCACATGAATTTTTGTCCTGGTTTATGAAGCACTCAGAGGGTTTACACTATTAGGACTGCCTCTTCCATTTTCAAATTTGGGAATAGGAAGTGGAGTTAACGAAAGGGAGAAAGCACTACAGAGTTTTCAAGACAGTATATTCCTAGTAGGCCTTCTTGGAAAAAAAAAAATGCAATTTAGAAAAAATATTAGATATATCTGAAATACTCTTTACTGTTCTTTAGGTGACTGTGAACTATCAAAGCATTTTCTTTAAAGGTTCTAGAACATTTTTCTAGGAGCAAAGGGAAAAAAGTTATAAAAAGATCTTCAAATGCAAAACTTTTTTCTTTGCTGCACGAACTGAGTTTGCCTGTCAAGTTAGTTGGAATAATTATCAGTCTATGTCTGATCATCTTTAGGAGCAGGTGATTTCAGTTATCTAGCAATGTCTCTATTAAACTGCCACAGTTTTTTCATTCCTATTTTTATGGACATCTGGAAAATTCTTTTGTGACAATCTCTCCAATGTAGTGCTGAAATTTGGATAGATTAAAAAAACACTGTATGCAAGCCCTGAAGGACCTAATGATGATGACTCATTGTAATTAGTGATAATTTATATGCAAGAAAATTCTTTCCATGCCTGATTGGTACAGTCTTCAAACCCTCCACTGGTTAGGCATAGATCTCAAGTGACAGAAGCATTTGCTGGACAAGAAAAGGAGACAGGTATGCAATTCCAGGTCTCTAAGAACCCTCAGATACCCTCCTTTGTTCAGGACCATGAATAATTGAGGAATGGATTGTTCCCGAGATATTCTGGCTGTCAGCTGACCGAGTTCCTGGACAGACAGCTCAAATGACACCTTGTTTGGGGATTTTTGAGAGCCAGATATGGTTGTTGTCAAGGGGGCACAAAAAATTTGGGGGACAGAACTATAAGCAAAGGGGCTTCCCTTAATCCTTCCTTATTTTTTACAGCCTTTGTGTCAGGACACAGATGCCCAAAGCTGATCCTCTCATAACACCCTCAGCTGCTGGCAGCAAGAGACAGAACATTCTGTCAGTAACAGCCAGATGACATTTGACTTTGTATCTATGTATGAGAAGAAAATATTGAGGTAACAGCATACTGTTCCATAAGTCTTCAACAGATACAGCCTACCTGATGGAAGTAAGGAGAAAACAGGACTACCTCTGGACAGCCGTAAAAACTTAGGGGTTTTAAAAAGAATGAGGTTAATTTGTTTAAAAGTCTGTCTCCAAAATCCATCTTCTGCTCACGCCTGAAGAAATTTCTCTCGTTTTCTCTTCCTCTCCTTCAGCCTTTGCCATTTCCTTGTCTATTTGTGAAGTCTGTTGAACCAGAGCCGTGCCCTATACATCACACCTTCCCATGCAGTGTGCTGCATGCCAGGGCGATGATGCCATGTGGGGGTGTGGGGGGCAGTGCACAGGCACAGGGGTAAGTCAAGCCTCCCCCCAGGAGGGTTTCCACTGAGTCGCCCAACATCTGCTTCCAGCTACAGATAAACCAGTGCTGAAAGGCCGACAGCACAAAGGTGACAGAGCAAATCTATTCCAGCTCTCCCATGTTTCCTCCCCTCTCACAATTTCTTCTCTGCCTAAATCATATCACAGAACAATAAATATACTGACAGAATGCATAGCTCTATATAAAGCCTGTAATTTTTCCTGGAGTGTGGTCAGGAAATAACATTTTACATATTTTTACAACATCTGCATTTTATTACTTTCTTTCATTCTGCCTGCACCCAGACTGAAAGGGTACATTCTGGAAATGCAGAAAGAGATGATGGTAAACAAACACTAAACTAACCTTTCTGATTTTGCCAACATCTGAGGAGAAAGGAAAACACATTGGCATTTCCACAAATCCAGCTTAACATCAATATATATTCAAAACAGGACTCTGATGTAAAAGTAACAAGTTCTATTTATATGTGTCCTCACAGCACATTTCCAGTAAACTTTTTGGGAAATAAAGCATTGTTCTAGGAGGCTGTTTCTTTTGAGTGTCTGTGGTTTTGTCTCCTCAGTCCACTTGCCCGTTTCTATTACAGCCACATCTAGATCTCAAAAGTTTGGATCCAGAAACCCCCTTTCAGAGTCGTTGACTCTGGCAATTTAATTTAAGGTGCTGCTTCACTGCCAGACATTGATGATTAGACCCAGATTAGACCATTCTACAACTGCCACACAGAAGAAACTTATCTTCCTGTGAGCATTGTAGGATCATGGCTACATTTTGCAACGTGTAAGAGATAACGTGCATTGTACTGCTGTGTAACTCAAAACCTGTATCTTACAAAAACGATTGACTTAACACTACAGAAAATAGAGTTTCAATGCAGAACTGAAATATCTTCCCACTGAACTGTGAGGATTTGTGTCTGCTGTCAGAAGCATCAACATTATCTACAAATGTGTTTGGAAGGTCAAGGGTATGAGGGTACTGCATGAGTTAGTTTTACCTAATGCATCCTGATAGCTATTGCTTACTTGCAAGGGATTGCCTTCAACCTTTTCCTTGACAGACATGTGAAATCTTCTTTAGAACCAGGTGAATTGCCTTTCAAAGCCATATTTCTCCTTTTGTCATGTGCATCTAGAAAGCAGTTCACCATTCTTTTGTATAAGGTCTACAGAATACTTTGTGCTTCTAGATAACAAATTAAATATTATGCATTAAGAATATATTTATAATAATCTATAGTACATAAATGCATCAGTCACAATAGAAATCTTTAAGAATGACAGATACCATGTCACAAAACAGAGTTACCACTGATACTTCTTTATATGCATATATTGAAACAGATGAAATATTACAGTGGAAAAAAGTCATAAAAAACTGTCAGCAAAATTCTTCTCTTTAATGCATGTAGATTAGATTTATTGACGGTAAATGCTGAGGTTTTTACTTGTAACAGATAGCTGTCATTGAAAATTTTTGTTTCTTTCTAAGATTACTGAATTCTTGCACCGAATGTCAAACTGTAAAGCATGCTTTCACAGCTATAAATAAAATCCACATACTTGCTTTTTCATTTTTACTGTTATTCATTTATAAAATCCATTATGAAATGTGATGAGGTGAGATAAAACACAAGGAAATATGAAACCTTAATTAGGCACTGTTTATTGCATAAGAAATATTACTGGGAACAAATTTTTTATGTTCAGGGTGGTGAAACACTGGCCCAGGTTGCCCAGAGAGGTGGTAGATACCCCATTGCTGGAAACATTTGAAGTCAGGAAGGACAAGCCTCTGAGCAGCTTGCTCTAGTTGCACCCTGCTCAGTGCAGGGGGCTGGGCTAGATGACCTTAAAGGTCCCTTCCAACCCAAAGCACACTGTGATTCTATGAAATCTGTAAACTGGTAATCTGAAAACACACACTTTTTAAATGCAACATTTTCCTGCAGCTTAACTGAGCTTCTAGGTCATGCCTGAGGTTATATGTCATTCCTGATTCAGTTACCAGGTGATTAAATGCTTCAGTTCCCAGGTGATTAAACTGGTGCTTTGACTGCTCCAGCCACTGAAGTTTTGTATTGCCAATAGGTAGCAGCACAGGATGATAAAAAGGTTTGTTGATACAATAATGACAATGAAATAATATTGGCAAACGGTATTATTAATACAAATTTGTAACAGTGAGCAGGCTCTGCTGCTACTTATGGATTAAACCAGTTCATGCTACACAACGTACTCTACAGGGTGGTGGGGCAGAGATACAGATATATCTCATTTCACTGTCTAGATCTCCAGGGCTAGAGGCAAGATTGTTTTCACACTCCTACCACAAGAAATGTTTTGTGCGTGGAACATACCAGACATCTTCTGAACCATGATAACTTCACATTCTTTCACATTTCCCTCTTATGTTCACATTGCACAACCCTACAGGACCCTGCCATCAACCAGAACAAATTGCCAGCTTCGTTTAACGCTGCTAGCCTGAGATAACCCCCCCAAAAAGGTGACCACACCTGCTCAGTACAGCTTTTGTCCCTGTCCACGTTTAGCCTATATCCAGGGCTAAATCACGGCAGTTGCTTTATCACCTGATGTCCCCTCCCCAGCCAAGAAGAGTGATCTGGAAAAGGCAAGGAGATTTGTGAGTTGAAATGAAAACAGATCTAACAAAACAGCAAAATTGGTACCAATGGCAGCATAAAATAATCCAAGTTATACTCAGCCCAGCAGCGGTACCGTGGGCACAATAAACTGGAAGGTAGTCCTCAGGGGCAGGGCCAGGAGGAGCCCAAGCAGGAGATCCTCCTTCCCTAGCAAACCAAGCATGATGTCTGTGGTCTGGGATACACCCGTGGCCAGCTCAGGTCAGCTCCCTGTCTGACTCCAAACTGCTAATGGCCAGCACACCATGGCTGCCCCAGGATGTGATCCCAGCAAAACCAGGACAGTATCCCCAAGTAATGTCATCTCCAGCTCTGCAAGGCTGTGTCCACCATTCCAGGAGATGCCTTCCACCACTAGCAGCAGCAAATTCTTGTATTTGTTCTAAAAACGGCTCAATTTATATGCAACTCTTAAAGCTTAAAAATAATGATGAAGAAGTGTGTCTCCTCCCTTTCTCATACAGCCCACATCAACTGAAGTGACCAAGGATTTAATTTGGAAATAACACTCATACAATATTAGAGGGGAATAACAAACGTTATCCTTGTGCAAATCAAAAAACCTCACTTCCTTTTTGAGCTTTCCCTGAAGTCAAACTGTTTAAACCTAAAATGTTAGTTTCTCCATTTTTGAAACATTTGTATTTTGTGCACAAATTGTTTTGACTCTTCTTCCCTCTAAACTTCTATAAGACCACCAAATCCCACTG